CGCCAGACACCGCCCCTGCGTAACTTCTCTTATTTCTCGATGTCAGCCGACAAAACGGGTGTCCAGTAGGTTGAGTAGTAAGAACACTTGACTTAAAATGCTCAATGACCCGCAGCATCCCGCCGCAAAACTCGGAGCTGCAAGAACCTGCAGTTGGGCTATCATGACGACGGCTAATAAATCAGATGTCATTAACACCTATCGAGAAGTAATTACTAGTGGCTAAAAGACCACATGTATAAGCTTTAGTTCCAGAGCTCCGAAGTAAAACGAAACGTCCACTCCCATCCACCAATTTAGATAGTTTGATGAAGGTCAATGTCGTGTAAATACTGGAATCTCCCAACACTTCTGACTACAAGGACAGACTTAACCAATGAACGATTGGGGCATATTATATTTACTACCACTTTGTACAAATACTTACAGTAGATGTGCTAACTCACGAAATGTCGACCAAAAATTTCGAAATGCGTTCTCGTTTCGAAAAGATAAATTAAGTAGTGTTGTAAAACTAATCAAGATGCAGCATAAATCTATAATGATCCAGTTACCTCAGGGTGTCGGCTTTCGAAAGAACTTATTTTCGGCTGCATGCAAGATCTTTACTCTGCAAAAAATGACTACTTAAGTAGTATGGAATTTTCTCATTATTTTTCGATGCCCTTGAAAATTCAATTATAGTTCATGGAAAACATGCATACAAATATTCATTCTTTTACTTATTCGGTAGAAAATCACATCTTCTTCCAATTTCACACTCAAAAGAAGAGTATAATTTGGTTTCGAAAAAGTTTCTAATTGTGAGATTTTTTAATACCGTTAAATGGCCGTTCATGAAACGTCATGTATCTGAATTTACGAATGTGGCTTGTAAAGTTAACAATATTGCTCAAATCCCCTGCTTAATTTTATGAACTTCATATGGTCTCCTCTTAACACCGTAGAGAAATGCATGGTTTTCCTTACACGGAAAATATACAGCTTGTAGTTTTGAAACCGTGAATGCAAGTGTAACAGCAGGTCGGGTTCAAAATTATTCGGGAATTATAAAAGTTTTTTAAAACCGCATTATGTCCCCCCTTTGAGCATGGAATTGGAAGTAGACGTGATTTTCTACCGAATTAGTAAAAGAATGAATATTTTTATGCAAGTTTTCCGTGAAATATAATTGAATTTTCAAGGGCGTCGAAAATCAATGAACAAATTGCATACTACTTAAGTAGTCATTTTCGCACAGTATAGATCTTGCATGCAGCTGAAAATAAGTTCTTTCGAAAGCCGACACCCTGAGGTAACCGGATCATTATAGATTTATGCTGCATCATGATTAGTTTTACAACACAACTTAATTTATCTTTTCGAAACGAGAACGCATTTCGAAATTTTGGTTGACATTTCGTGAGTTAGCACATCTACTGTATAAGTTAAGGACGGTAGGACATATAAAACAGTCATGTTGGACACCGGCTACCTAGTGCCTGCAGCAGCGACGTTGAAGGCCCTAGTTCGATCAGCCCCTACATTATTCACAGGTCTCAACGGTAGGCGGAAGAAGACTAGAACTGTGCACTCTGTCGGTTCACGTGATCCTCGCACCACCACCACGGAGCCGAATCCATGATGGAAATGACCGTTCCCCCCCTCCCCTCCGTCCATCACCGTTAAAGGTGCTCTAACATGACTCGCTCGCATTCCCTGTTGCGAGGCTAAGACCGCGTTTGTGGAGTTTTCATTGTAATCACAACTCGCTCACACACTTACAGGCCCGATTACTCTTTTCGGTCATTCATACACTCATCGCATTTGATTGCCGTAGATTGCTCTCTCCTGAACCATTAGATCCACAAGCATGCAATGGCCATCCGCAGTTGAATGAGAAGTAAAGCAATTTACAGTATCATGAAATGCTTCATTTTTATTTGGAGGCAAGCTTGTGAGGCGGGATACGACTTGTAAGAAAGATTACAGTCGCACCAAATGCACTGTTTTCTTTCAAAGGCGAAACGAGGTCCAGGAATTTAAAAAAAATGGCGTTATACTACTCAGTTGGTTGTCAAAGCACACTGCGGCGGGATTCAGGAAATGCATTCCCCGGTGGCCTTCAACTGCCTCCATCTGGAGCACTTTGGCTGGTTTTTGGAAATTTAAGACATGGCTTGTTCCCTCGTGCAAATTCTGATCCGAATAACTTTTTTACACACGGCAGATCCCGATTGAGGTCCAAAGTAGGCTAGGAATTTATTGATCTTGCCGGATGGCAAGCTGACC